AAAGGAGGAAGGAAAGGAAAAAGGAAAGGAAAAAAGGAAGGAAAGGAAAAAGGGAAGGAAAAAAGGGAGGAACGGAAGGAAAGGAGGAAGGAAAGTGAAGGGAAAAAAAGAAAGGGAAGGGATGGGATGGGTCTCGCGTGGATCTCCCGCGCATCCAGGTTTGGGGGGGAGACGGACTCGCCAGTTTCCACGGCTGCTGTGCGCTGGAGGGGGGCTGGGATTTCCCCGCTTCCCTTCACGTCTTTTTTTTTCTTGCTTTTTTGGGGAGATGGACCCTCCCTCCGATCCGGTTTAATGTACCTCCCGGGTTACAAACCTCTGGATTAATCCGTTGCTCCTTAAACTGCTCCGGTTTTCCGACCTCATTCCCCCCCCCCCCAACCCCACTTCACACGCACGGCGCGATCCGAAGCGCGGATAGGAAACCGGCAATAGGGAAAAGGGGGACAAAGGATCGGGGGATTGAATTCGGAGTAAAGAATAGGGCTATAAAAGTCTAAGCGCTAGGAAGTTGTGGGAGCTTCGTCGCTGGAAGCTTTCAGGAAGAGACTTGGACTGCCTTTTGTCAGGAATGGTGTAGGGTCTCTCCTGCTTGGGCTTAGGGTTGGACTAGATGACCTCCAAGATCCCTTCCAACTCTGTTAGTCTGTATCTGCTTAAAGAGCCCGCGGAGAAGTGTGTGTGTGTGTGTGTATGCGTCGCTTTCTTCCCCTTCTCCGTTTGCATTTGCAAAGTCAAGAGGGGGGGTTTGCTCCGGATTAACACCCGGGTCGTGGGAACGCGCTAAGAACTTTCTCGTTGCTCCGGATTAACACGGGGTGGTGGGAACGCGCTAAGACCTCTCTCGTTGCTCCGGATTAACACGGGGTGGTGGGAACGTGCTAAGATCTTTCTCGTTGCTCCGGATTAACACCCGGGTCGTGGGAACGCGCTAAGACCTTTCTCGTTGCTCCGGATTAACACCCGGGTCGTGGGAACGCGCTAAAATATTTCTCGTTGCTCCGGATTAACACCCGGGTGGTGGGAACGCGCTAAAATCTTTCTCGTTGCTCCGGATTAACACCAGGGTGGTGGGAACGCGCTAAGACCTTTCTTGTTGCTCCGGATTAACACCGGGGTAGTGGGAACGCTCTAAGATCTTTCTCGTTGCTCCGGATTAACACCTGGGTGGTGGAAACGCGCTAAGACCTTTCTCGTTGCTCCGGATTAACACCCGGGTCGTGGGAACGCGCTGAGCTCTTTCTCCTTTCCTTGTCTCCCCCCCCCACCTCCCCCTCCACGCCAGGCGCCCCCCATGACCCTGAACCGCGGCGACAAACTGAGGTACCTGGACAAGCGGCGGGGCAGCATGCCCTTCGCGGCCCACCATCACCATCACCAGCAGCAGCAGCAGCCGCCGCCCCTTCATCGGCGCAGCATGCCGGTGGACGAGCGGGACCTCCAGGCTTCGCTGCCGCCCTCGCCCCGGGGCCAGCTCGCCGGCCTGATCCGCTGCACCTCCTACAACCCGGGCGAGGAGGGAGAGGAGGAGGAGGAGGAAGAGGAGGCGCAGCGGCAGGGCTGGGCGTCCGACTCCTCCGACTCGGTCATCTCCTCCGGCAGCGACTCGGAAGGCGGCCTCTACAAGGTGATGCTGCTGGGCGAGCACGGCGTGGGCAAGACCAGCCTGGCCAGGATCTTCGGGGGCGTAGAGGACAGCCCGGACGCCGACGAGGCAGGTGAGAGAGCCGGGGGAAGGGGGGCTGAGGGCCGTCAAAGGAGGACGGGGGTGGGGGGGCTAGGGGGTGGGTGGGGAGAGAGGCTTTGGGCTCCCACAATGATGGGGGGGGGGGTTGAG